TTTAAGCAATTAAAAAATGTTATGTTTTTTGTAGACAAACAAAATAAAATACATAAAAAAAAATCATTATAATTTTCTACTTTTAAACACTTGAGTCCCAAGTACAATTTTTAAATGGCAACACCTTGTGAGTGTTATCTCTTGCAGTCCGGTGTTATGTCTTTGTCTTACAGTTGTGCTACAGAGAGCCCTTTAGCAATTTTAGTTGTGGCACCTCTCACCTTCTTTAAGACTTTAAAATGTATCAAATGCAGAACCAACATACAGTGAGGAAGATCATTATTTGATCCCCTGCAGATTTTATTTGTTTTCCCACTTACAAAGAAATGAAAGGTCTATAATTGTATCATAGGTGTATTTAAAATGATAGAGACAGAATTGAGTTGCAGTTCAGTGAGTAAAAGAAATATTTGATCCCCTACCAACCAACAATAATTCTGGCTCCCACAGACTGGCTATGTGGTACACAGATTAGTCCTGTCAATTTAAGAAGGTGCTCCTAACGACAACTCGTTAAGAATATAAAAGACACCTGTCCACAGAATCTCTTTCTTCAATTCAAGTGCTGGTTCACACCAGTTGAAGTGCGTTCCGGGCCTATTCTGGCCGGAACGCACTGCCTCGCATTGGGCCAGCTCACTTTTTCGTGGGGCAGGAGTGGGCGTGGTGGGCCATTGAAGTGAATGGCACCGTAGCCACGCCCTCCGGCCGCAATGCGATCGCCCGCATGGGATCGCAAGGCAGATTGCAGACCTGCGCAAGGCTGGAATGGGCCCGTCTGAAGTTTGTCAATGAACATCTAAATGATTCGGAGAAGGATTGGGAGAAAGCGCTGCGGTCAGATGAGACCAAAATGAAGCTCTTTGGCATTAACTCGACTCGCCATGTTTGGAGGAAGAAAAATGCTGACTATGACCCAAAGAACAGCATGCCTACAGTCAAGCACGGAGGTGGAAACATTATGCTTTGGGGTTGTTTCCCTGCTAAAGGTACAGGCCAACTTTGCCACATTGAGGGCCCAATGGATGGGGCCATGTATTGTAAAATCTTGGATGAGAACCTCCTTCCCTCAGCCAGAACACTGAAGGATGGGTCATGGATGGGTCTTTCAGCATGACCCAAAACATACCGCCAAGCAATAAAGCGGTGGCTCAAGAAGAAGCACATTAAGCTTATGGTGTGGCCTAGGCAGTCTCCAGACCTTAATCCTGTAGAACATTTATGGAGGGAGCTCAAACTACAAGTTGCCAAGTGACAGCCAAGAAACCTTAAGGGCCTGTTCACACGACGTCCATTTTCTGTGCTGACCTGATCCGTACGCTCCAGCACTAAAAATGCATCCCAATGTATCTCTTCTATGTGTTTTATGGGCTACAGTTATCACGTATGCAGGTTATGACAGAAAAATACTGCATGTCACATTTTGTACAGTCAGGAAACGGTCCGGAAATGCAAAACGCGTCAAAAAAGCACTGCACTGCAGCTAACATACTGACAGCCCCACTCCAGCAAAAAAAAAAAAAGATTTTTTTTTTGACTAGAACGCATCAAAAACGCGGCAAATCACATACCCTGTTTCCCCCGAAAAAAAGACCTACCCCGAAAGTAAGACCTAGCACCATTTTTCAATATTCCTCCAATATAAGACCGCTACCGAAAATAAGACCTAGTTTGGTGGTAGCATGTGAGGGGGAACTTGCATGAGAGATGGTATCAGCCTGCAGGGACATACTGTATTAAAGGGATGACAGGGGACTCCCTCCGGCCAGGGCAGTGACAGGGAGCACTCCAGTACCATACTTCACCAACTGCTGTCCCCCTGAAGGCACTGCTTAATGTAATGGTACTGTAATGTGTACCGGTAAATGGTACCGTACTTTACCACGCTGTCCACTGTCTGATGTCCCCACTGCTGCACCGCTGGTACCACTGTCCCTGGTGGCAAAGGAAGCTGGCGCTGTAGAAAGCAAGGCTGCGAAGATTTTATGACTAAACTTTGCAACGCCCCGAACGGTGAAGTGTCCAACATGGAGGACATTCCCCTAAACAACCGTCCCGAGATAGGTAACCTGGTACCGGGTGACTGGCTACCGGATTTCTGTATGCCCTTAAGAATGGCTCGTACGGGATGTGCGGCAAAAACCGACTGCCTATCCGGGTAACTTAACGCAAGGAAATGTTGCACTCCCGCCAGGTATAGCCTGATAGTATTATACGCTAATTTGCGATCCGTGTGGCAGTAATATCTGCATCAGAGACGTGACCACTGTACACAGGGAAACTTGTTCCGCTCTCTCACTAGCTGCTGCCGGAGGGAATAACAATTTAAATAACTCCGCTTTCCTGGCGGTAGCAGGAAAAGGGATTCCTCTCCTCTGTAGCTCCAATATGAGCCTAGGGATAGTCCATGCCCTGATGGAAGGGGCACTTTCCATTGCTGCCGAACCTACTGTACATAGATGTCACTGTCATGCTGGGAGAAACCATGAAACACCAAATAAGTCTACCATGATGTAACTAAAAAGCCGTTACTGGTACCTGTTCTCAGCCTGCTCGCAGGAAGTTGTGTTCGTGCTGTGTGTATGCCTATGGCGTCCGCTGCTGACACTTGCTGCTCCACCGGTATACTGAATAAACAAAAACGCTTCTCCTGTGAAGACAGGGGGGGGGTATAGTAGACCAGCAATATCTGAATCAGCATCCGCTGCTGATACTCGCGAACGGTGCTGCCGACAGCCTCCATCGCCCCTTCCCCACGTCCGGCGCCGTGGAAATGACACGCCCGTCGCAACCGGAAGTGACGACATCCCCGGTCCGTCTATCTTACCTGTACGCCGTAGATCGCTCGTGTACAGAGGAGCCTGGGCACCCGGTTTAAGAAGGCTGTGGGAGCGCAGACTCCTCCCACAAATCCAGGCCTAACAGGTTAGCCTTAAAACGTATATATACATGTGGAGTACACAATGAGGTAGAATTCCAAGAGTCTTCATTTCAAAAAGCACATACAATAGTAAGTTATTTTATTGCAATTTGCGTTATTGTGCTTAGTCATAAATAAGGGTGCAAGCCAGTGCCTAAGTGGCAGCAACATTCATTTCAGCTGTATCTGTGGTAAAGTAAGCTGATTAGACTTGCAACTTTAGCACAGCTGCTGTGTTATATAGCCAGCATTGGCAGATCACTGACTATTTTTGCTTCTCCTTAGAGTTGTCCTTTAAATTAAATTGATCATTATCATAATGTTTTTTTTTTTGCATTTATCTATAGTTAAATTCTAATGTGCTGCATTTATTTTTATTTTTTTAAACCTGCAGGGATTTTCTTGCTTTGAATGTTTACGTGGCTCTTTGTTACTATAAACTTGATTACTATGATGTGTCACAGGAAGTCCTTGCGGTATATTTGCAACAGGTTCCTGACAGCACTATTGCCCTTAACCTGAAGGCATGCAATCATTTTCGTCTCTACAATGGGAAAGCAGCTGAAGTAAGGATATATTGTACATTTTTAAAATTATTTGTTGTGTTTTGTTTATTTGTAGAACTACTTCATGGAAGAAATAACTGTTAATCCCATGTTAATAATAACTGTTTCCAGAAACTGCTTAAATTGAAATATTCTGGGGGTAAACATCAAAAGCTGATCCCAGGAGATAAATACATGTACCAAGAGATTCCTTCTAGCACCATCATTTATCTTTCAGAGTTCCCTTGGTGCCCCTAAACCAGTGGTTCTCAACCTGTGTAACCTCAGGACCCACATTTATACTTGGTCATTAAGTCATGACCCAAGTCGCACCGCACTAGAATGCACGGCATTGCGGTACTGCACATTCCAGTGCGGGTGATCGAAGTGTGGGTGGGAGGTGCATTTGGGGTGCCATTCAAATAAATGGCAATGCAACACACCTCCTACATCAGAATTTGTGGTAGGTATGATTTTGCATGGTATACTGCCTTAATCGCATGGGACTGTGCGTTTAACGCACTGTACTAGTGTGAACAGGCCCCTTAAAAACACTGACAGACACACACAATCACAGACACTCACACACACATCCCCCCCCCCCAAAAAAAAAAAAAACTGGAGTGGATCCTCAGCCTGGGGTCCAGTGTGGGCTGCAGTTCTGTGACAGAGCTCCATCCATATCTGCATTGCTGGTGCTCCCTTGCATGCCCTTCAGAGGTGCCGGGAGCTAGAATGTGATGTCACTCCGATCCCGGCACTTCTACAGGGCACATGAGGGAACTGTAAGCAAAACACGTATGGATGGAGCTCCTTGGCGGCCATAGCCCCATCCCCAATGCTAAAGCCTGATGAAGGGACCCTGCGCGGTCCCGAAAGCGCTTGTTTGGTCATATGACAAAAAACTTCGATAAATTAAGCTTTTGCTGTCTTAAAATGACAGGTGTGCTGGTGACATTTCTACAATTTTGCTGACATTCGCGGCGCCATCCGCGGTCACTGCGAGCACCCCCCACTACAAGGGAATAGGAGAGTACTCATAGCCCCATCCCATCCCACGTCAAGCTGACACTCTGCACCGGGCAGCATATTTTAAATGGCTGCTTGGCGTGAGGACGGACAGTGCTGTGCTGGGGGAAGCCTCTCACCTAAAAAAGTTGGAGGCATGTGGTGACCCACTGAACACGAGATCGCGACCCACTTTTGGGTCACGATCCACCAGTTGAGAAGCAAGGCCCTAAACCCTAGGGTGCTTAAAGGAGAAACTGAATTCTGCAAGGTGTGCCCAAAAATGACCCCCCCAAAAGGACAGCAAGACAAAGGGCAAAAGACTAATCACTAGCATTATAGCATTATACAGATGCTCTTCGGATTGAGTTCCCACCCACTGAGCAGAGGAGCGGACCAGAGAAAACTTTCTCTCTCAGGTCCACTCCTCCTCTTAGTGGGCAGGCTTTTAATAGCCATCCTGCTATTGCAATTTGAAATAGCCAATGGAAGTCTGGCTATTGCTCCCCATTGTGTACTGTCTGCTGGCGACCGCGGAAGTACAGTACACTACAGTACAAACCTCCGGTTTGCGATACAATTGCGTTATGGGCTCATCAGAACATAACCCCACCGTAAACCGAGGAGTGTCTGTACTCTCTTATAAATTAATCCAGCAAGTTCATAATGTGCATAAAGTAACTCTGTAACAGCAAATTATGTAACAAAAGCTACAGCACTTATACCATCATACCCTTTTATAAATATTAAAGTTGGTATATTTGTTTTAAATTATTGCAAAATACTCATGTATGTAAAAAACTGCATAAAAAAGTAAAACTATCTTTAGTCAAAGTCTCTGATATTATTATGCTCTTGTGAAACAAATACAAAACACACTCACCACTTTTTTTTAATTTTAATTTTTAATAGTTTTTCCATAATTTTTCCATAACATTAAAAATACATAAAAACAATATAAAAGCTGTTTTCCTCACATGAAGGAAGTGCACACATCGCTATAACAACCACTTTATCAAATACATCCAATGGTTATGGGTTGGCCTGATCGGTTTGACAAATTAACTTTTTTAAAGGTCCATAACCACTGGACTGAACAAATGCAAATTAAAAGGGGACCAGCACCCACTAGAGACTATAACCCCTACACATGCTCAAGGGCACAGTTTATCTTAGTATCCCGAGAAGATAGGGTGTATCCCTCCAGCTCTGATGCATCTTGAGTTAGTGTGGAAGATTCTTCAAGCTTCTGCCGGCAGTTTTATGCTGGATTCAGAAATCCTGCATAATCTCTCCAGCAGCATACAAGTGCAGTATCTTACTGGATAGACCTAAATTTGGTATTTAACCTTGACACCCCTGCTAAGGGCTCAAGCACATGTACACTTTTAGGTTTATCAAAATAAAAATGCAGCCATATTTCTGTGCCTGGGTGAATACCAGAGGTACTCTGATGCCCCCAGATCTTGAACTATATAATTTGTCCTAGACTTGAATGTATGTTTAAGTAAATCTAATATAATGAAATGTCTGTGAAGAAACAGTCTAATAAAGTACAGCAGATATGGGCAAACAATGGAAGTGAAGGGAATATTCTGAGACACATGTCTCAGAAAAAGAAGAAGCTGATTGTGGTATTAACCTTTTATTATTGTGTATTAGTGTGTGGAGGGGTTGTATCTCTCTGTGTGTGTGTATGTGTGTATTAGGCCCCATTCACACCTGTAAGTTTAGGTGCGTTTCGGGATTACTGCATTAGGAACTTGTGTTTTCCTGCAGCAGGGATCCCTAATCTGGTGTTTAGGCTTGGGTCACACATAAGCGATTTATTGCACGGATTTAGCCTGTCGCGCGGATTTAGCCAGCCTGCATTAAAGTCAATGGAGGCTGTTCACACCATTGCGTCACGTCACGTGGGCGAAATCGCCTGTTGCACAAAAAAATGCAGGAGCTATTTTCAGGCAGATGCCGCTCGGTTTTGGTCCCATAGACATCTCTATGCATTGAAAACTGTGCTTTTCAAAGCAGAATCGCGCACAAAAACTAATACACGAAAACAGCTCAGTAGCCTAATCTTAACTTCATTAACTTGAACGGGCCTAACAATCAGCAACTGTTACCCGTTCAAGTTAATGATCAGGTGACAGCTGCTACATGTAAACGCCTGCACACCGCATGTAATTATATGTAGTACGATTACATGCGGTTAGGAACCAATCACTTTCCCTGGACACATCAATCATGCATCCAGGGAGAGTGATTGTTGACATATGAAATTCGGCAAGCGGCCCTCATGGGAGAGAAAAAATTGTCTAGTGCCCCTCAAGTGAATTGAGTTTGAGACCCCTGCTCTAGGGTAACGTAAAATGTGTTTGTTTGTTTGTTTTTTTGTAATTCTACTGTTTCTTTGTTACAGGCAGAACTGAAAAGTTTAATGGACAGTACTTCATCTTCATTTGAATTTGCCAAGGAGCTGATTAAGCACAACCTTGTAAGTTTTTTTTGTTTTGTACTTGCATGTAAAGCTGAATTCCAGGCAGATAAAAGATATTGCATAAACACAACAATATGCTCAATTAATGTAGAATCTTCCTATTTTTCTCTGTAGGCTGTCACTTTTAGTGCCTCTTCAAAAATTGCATTAGCAAGTTGAGGCGACCAGCTATCCTAGCTGCTTTCTGTGTACTGGGGGATCGGTTGCCCCACCAGCAGGCAAGCAAATCATTGACTTTATCATGTCAGCGCTGCTTTTTTAGTTTATGTAAACAAACTAGAGCAGCTGTAATCTAGAGTGGTGTGTAACTGAAAGTTTCAGATTATGTCAGCACATCCCATCTCTGCTCTGCATACGGTTGACATAGTGGTGTCTCAGATGTGTCTCTGCTTCCTCTTTATAGAATCTTATAAAAATGTGTTTCAAAGGTTCCAAAGTGTGGCACAGGGATGAGGGCAGTTGCTGGCAAATGTGTGCTTGCAACAACAGGGAATTTATTTTCTGCTCTGTCACTGCCCACAACACATTCTCCACTCCCAAGAGAGTGCCTACGGACTGTGTGTAGATAGGCAGTGCTTGGGATGTGTAGTATTTGTAGGTCAACCTACATCATTTAGGAAATGACATAGGTTGCCCTGGAGACCCCTCATCCAAGCTACAAAGATACAACCCCAATTCCAAAAAAGTTGGGACGCAGTGTAAAATCTACATAAAATCAGAACAATGAGTTGCAAATCTCATAAACTCATATTTTATTTACAATAGAAAACATCAAATGTTTAAACTGAGAAAATTTGCCTTGTAAAGAAAAAAATAAGGTAATTTTGAAATTGACGGCAGCAACAATTCACAGAAAAGTTGGGACAACCCATGTTTACCAGGGTGTAGCATCCCCTCTACTTTTAACAACGCTGCCAAAGTCTGGGAACTAAGGAGACCAGTTGCTGGAGTTTTAAGAGAGGAATATTGGCCCATTCTTGCCTGGTGTGACGGACTCCTTTCTGTATAAAAGGTTGCACAGAAAGGAATCAAAAAATCAGACTTTGTTTCACCCTACACTCGATCTCGACTGGTGACTGGGAGCTAAAGTTCAGCGGGTTGCAATATCTGTTGAGCAAGGAAGAATACAGCGGCTCACATACTCATCCTGAGTACTGGGGTCCGTCTAACTGCTCAACAGTCCTGGGTCTTCTTTCTCATATTTTTCGTTTCAAGACATGCCAAATATTTTCAATTGATGAAAGGTCTGGAGTGCAGGCAGGCCAGTTGGGCACCCGGACTCTTCTACTACGAAGCCAGGCTGTTGTGATGCAGTATGCTTAGCATTGTCCTGCTGAAATATAAAAGGCCTTCCCTGAAAAAGACGTCACCTGGATGGGAGCATATGCTGCTCTAAAACCTGAATATATCTTTAAGCATTGATGGCGCCTTTCCAGATGTGCAAGCTGCTCATTCCATACAAACTAATGCACCTCCATACCATCAGAGAAGCAGGCTTTTGAAGTGAGTGCTGATAAGCCGGAAGGTCCCTCTCCTCTTTAGCCCAGAGAATGAGGCGTCCATGATTGCAAAAAAATGTGTTTATTTTTTTTGTCTGACCACAGAACAGTTTTCCACTTTGCAACAGACCACTTTAAATCAGGTTTGGCACAGAGAAGATGGTGGCGTTTCTGGATCATGTTAAGATATGACTTCTTTGCATGATAGAGCTTTAATTTGCATTTTTGAATGGCACGGTGAGTTTTGTCTACAGACAGTGGTTTTTCAAAGTATTCCTGAGCCCATGCAGTGATGTCGATCACAGAATCATGACTGTTGTTAATGCAATGCCGTCTGGGGACCCAAAGATCACAGGTATCCAAAATAGCATTTCGTCCTTTTACCTTGCGCACAGAGATTTCTCCAAACTCTGGATATCTTTTAATGATGATATGTACTGTGGATAGTGATATATTTAAAGTCTTTGCAATTTTATGTTGAACATTATTCTAAAATTGTTCAACAATTTTTAGATGCAGATTGGTGAACATCTGCCCATCTTTACTTCTGAGACACTCTGACTCTCTAAGATGCTCTTTTTATACCCAATCATGTTACTGACATGTTGCCAATTAACCTAATTAGTTGCAAAATGTTCTTCCAGCTCTTCCTTGTTAGTACCACTTACTTTGCCAGCTTTTTGTTGCCCTGTCCTAACTTTTTTGAGAATTGTTGCTGCCATCATGTCACGACTTGGGAACTGGAGCACCAGGAATAGTAAACTCAGGGTCTGGCAGAGCAGTATATATATATGATTGAATTAGGAATGTGCAGGGATACAGGTCTCTGAAGATGCAGGGACAGTGTGACCGCACAACAAATGCAGGTGTGCCAGAGTCGCAGGATCTAAGGAGCCACCTGGTCTTTACCAGAGCCACTGATGGTGTGGATGTTGAGCTGCGGGGCAGCTCCCAGGTTGCGGCTCTCTGGCACACTGTGCAGGCACAGTGCCAGCGGGTACTCAGGCACAACAGCACACTGGACAAGACACAGGGTACAAGGTACAGAAAAGAGGCACTAGAGGGAAGACGCAGGGCACATGCGTGACACAGGGAGCAGGTAACAGAAGGGAACACACAACAGGTGTTCCCACAGGAACAGCAGAGGGGAATGTACAGGAGAAAGGAGGGAGGTGCACTATAGTGCAGAGCAAAATAACCACAGGAAGCCGGAGCAGGAGGCAAACCACAAAACAGAGCTATCCGGCATACACCGAAGAGTGAGGCTGCATGGAATTAGCAGCCACACAAGAGAAGTGACACTAAAGGTAGGAACAGGTGAAGGGACTCACATAACAAGGTAGGAGACCCGCACACAGGAACTACAACAAATGTTAACACAAGAAACAAGCAAAGGGAAACAGGGAGATCACAAGCAAGGGGGGATAGCCAACAGGGAGATCACAAGCAAGGGGGGATAGCCAATGGGGAGATCACAAGCAAGGGGGATAGCTAACAGGGAGATCGCAGTCGGAGGAGAATCGAAGAAGGAATCCAAAAAGGTATACAAGCACAAGGGGTCTGACAAAAGAAATAAGTCTTTTTGCTTGAACGAAAAGCAACAAGTGAGAGTGCTAAATAGGGGAGGAGGTGTGAAGATTGGCTGCAGCCCTGTGGAAAACCACAGGCTGACAGCCAAGCACCAGGGACCAACATAAAAATCTAGCATGGATTGCTGGACATTGTGACGCATGACTTTCAAAAATACCTTTTTTTTTCTTTTTTTTTTTAATGGTCAATTTTCTCCGTTTTAACATTTGATATTTTTTTTTCTATTGTGAATAAAATATGGGTTTATTGTATTTGCAAAGCATTGCATTCTGTTTGTATGTAGATTTTACAAAGCGTCCCAACTTTTTGGGAATTGGGGTTGTAATTTGAAGCCCTGTGATGATGCCACAGGAAAGAAGAAAAATAAGAGGAATATCATTGTGCATAAAACAGTAAGGTAAGTTGAAAATTCCTACTGGGACATTAATTTCAGAGGTAGAAAGGTTTGGTGCTGTATTTGTTTTGTGCCAGGAGTTCATCTATTAAAATGTATAATTTGTAACTTTGTCATTGTTTTTATGCTAATCTAATAATAATTGTGTATATTTGTAGGTAGTGTTCCGATCTGGTTATGGTGCTTTGCAGGTATTACCACCCCTGGTAGATGTTATCCCTGAGGCACGTTTAAACTTGGTGATTTACTACCTCCGGCAAGGTAATTCTGATCTTCAAAAATGTATGCAAAAATGCAGAATATTCAAGTATCTTTTGGTCTTTGGAGTGTGCTTTTTCTCCTTGATAGAGCATTGGCAAGAGATGGTCAGAACAGAACATTGGGAAAAATGTAAGGAGACAACGCTAATGTAAACTTGTAAAAGCTTCAAAACATATAAAGTAACATGCACAGCACATAGATTAACTAGTACACCATACTAGTTTCAGTATACCAAGTATTGAAACCTGAAAGGTGCTCTATTTTCTGGGCACAAAGTTGAATTCATTCAGCTTAAAGCAAATGTAAAAATGGCAGAATTATTAGTTACACATCTTTAAAGGAGAACTATGGGGTTAAGGCTTTTCCCCATAGTTCTCCTTAGGGTAACGGGAGGACACAAACTAGCATCCTCCCGTCACCCTGGGCTCAGTATACCACGAGCTGTAGCTCGCGGTATACTGAGACTCTGCAGTATACACTGAGACGCCGCAGCTGAAGCGGATCCCGACAATTGTGCCAGGATCCGCTCAGCTGCGTGACTGACAGCTGGCTCTGCCTATCTAGAGGCAGAGCCAGCTGTACCCACCCCCTCCCACGTCCGTTTCGCCAGTCAGCGCTGGCAGATCGAAGCGGGGAGGGGGTATCCAGCCCCTCCCCTGTCACGGCAGGGGGCCGTGACAGGATCGAGAAGTGAGCGAACGCCGGTATGTGTCCGCTCACCTCCCGATCTACTGAGCCGACCTGTGACAGTCTCATTGTCACAGGTCGGCTAGAACTATGAGGTGTGAAAAGCGCTCACCTCATAGTTCTCCTTTAAAGAAGAACTCCGGGCAGAATAAACTTTCCCTTGCAGTGAGGCTACCCCTGCACTGCAAGGGTTAAAGCACTATTAAACTTCCAAATTTTTCTATGTCTTTCCAGGACAGCACATGAGAGAGCATTACTCCACCCCTAGAGGAGAAAGAAACACAAACACGTCAGACTTGAAAAGGCGGCCCCCAGGTAGTCAGTCAGTATTTGTGTTTCCTTCTCCGGACAAAACGTACAGCTGGAACTCAAGGGGAGACTTGCTCTCATATGCCTGTGCCGGGCATTGCTTTCCCATCTTACCTCTTTGGTTTTTTTCCTCTTGACGTCTTCCCAGATGACCTCCTTACTGTGTGGATGGTCGGCTCTGGGGCTTCCCTCTCCAGCTCCAAGATTCAGCTGGAATACAGGACCTCCCCTAGGACCACTCTGCGTTAGGAAACGCATGGTGGTGGCAGCAGCCATCTTCTTTTCCTCCTCCTTTCCGAGCCAGAGACAGTGTGGTGTCGCTTTTGTGAGGGGCGGGGCCAGGAGTAGGGTGTTCGGGCACTTGGTACCGTCCTGTGGACTGCAGGGAAAAGGGCAGGGCTTCCGGTAACGTCACTTCTGGTCTAGCGCATGTGGTACGCTGTTACCAGACCGGGAAAAAGGAATTGAAATGACACTACTGACAATATTCCTGCTGCACACTCTACATCTTGAACCCGACAGAAGAGGCAGGGACTGTGGTGACAGGATGTGGCTACACTGGCTTAGCTTAGATAGGTGGAGATTGCAGCGGCCTAATCTACCTACCTGGCGGGGGGGGAAATAAGGGGTGGTGTCCATGTTTGGTGATGGGCCCGGTGACATTTATTTTGGCACTGTATCTCGGTGGCTGCAAGGGTTTGTGCACAAAAGTGTGTCAAGTCTTAGGTCCTAAAACTATTATTTTCTATGTATTGTTTTACAGGCACAGGCTCCTGAAAAAAAGACCTCTTCCTAAGAAAAAGTGTGCTTCCTTATACTTGGAGCTAACCTTTGTGCCAAAAATGTGTATAAAAATAGGTTCGGAGGGAATCCTCTTTAAGCTGTAAGGATTTTATGACTAACATCAGGGAGTAGTTGTCCTCTACCTTTCAGTCCTTCAGAACCTTACTTTCTGACCTTAAGCCCCCCGAGTCACGCAGTTTCAGTGCCTTCTGTTCCAGTTCCATCGTCAGGTGTAAGGATTATGGAACCGAGGCGGAAGATTAGTGAAGGGAAGGGACTTTGCAGGACAGGATTGCTAAATCTTCCAGGTACAAACCTGCCCTGGAGGATGTTGACAATCTCCTCAAAGCCATTTATGAGACATTCCAGTCCAAAGCACGCTCTCAGACTCCATTTCTAAAGGATGGGTTAACCCTGAAAGGAAGTCGTTCTTTTCTCAGGGGTAAGCATTGGTTTCATTATAGTGAGGATCCTACCTTACTTTAGAATAAGTTGCCTTAACTAGATGCAGCTTTTTCCCAGGTTTCCAGATCTATTGATCTGTCTTGTGAGGATGGGGGTGTTTTTAAAGACCTCATGAATAAATTAATGGATCTCTTTTTGAAGAGAGCTTGGGAGTCCTCTTAGGCTAATCTTAAACCGGATTTAGTTTCCACTTGTGTGGCCTGGAATTTGGAGTATTGGCTTACCCAAATGCTAGCCCATCTGGAGGCTGGGACACCTAGGCAAAAGATTTAAAAGTTTTTTTCCAATGCTTTTTTAAATTTATTTTTTATAACTATACAACATTTTTATTAAAGTCAAAAGGGCATATACAAGTTGCAAGGAAAGCACAATACGCAGTATTTTTCATATTAAAACAATTAAACAAGGGTAAGGTACAAATGGGATGGAACAAAGTCAAACGGAAATCGGATATATGTGCAGTATAGAAGATAAGGCATATGTGTAGTATGGTACACCTGATATACAGAGTCAAGTACCAACAGAAGCTAGAATAGAGCAAGAATCAAGTTCAATTAGGGCAAAGTGCTTCAAATGTTACTAGGGGACAGCCAGTAGTGTGAGAAAAGGGTATGGTTAGCAGGTTAAGTCACTTAAATGGTGCATTCTTTGTGGGTGAGCCAACTGAACCAATTTAATTTGATTTGCTCCATGTACAGTTAGATTTTGCAAATAGATATTCAAATTGAGCATTGGTGTTTAGCATACGTATCATGGATTGGAGCATCGGGGGTTCCTTTCATTTCCACGATCTTGCTAAAGCTAATCTTGCAGCTATAAAGGCATGACATACAAAAGTGCGGGTGTCAGGTGGCCAAGATTCTAAGCCTTTTCCCAAAAAAGCAAGAGCCAGATTAGGATCACATGGAATACGAACAACAGAGGAGATAAGGTGGAAGACTTCTTTCCAGTACGACGTTAGTTATCACAGAACCATCAGATATGAGAAAGGGATTCTATTTGTCCACAGAGCCTCCAGCATAACAGTGGGGAACATTTTCGAGAGTCTCTAGGGAGTGTAGTACCATTTATGGAAGAGCTTCTGTACAGATTCCCAATGGTTTATGCATTTCGAGGATTTGGAGGGCCAGTTGATTGCGTTGCACCATTGTTTGTTGGAAGAAGATAGTTATAGTTCTCTCTCCCACCAAACCATTGAAAGTAGCCTTAAATGTCCGAAAGAAACTACAGAGTCATTGAGGTATAAATCACTGATATTGGTAATACCTAGAGTCTCCCAGGATTTCAGCTGAATGTCTTGTAGAAAGTGTCTAGTACAGACAAAAGTATATATTGTAAGATATGTGTGGTAGTTTGAGAAGTGGTTTGGGCCCGAGAATTTTCAGATCTTCGGACGGGAGTGTGCAGCAGAGACTCAGGTAAGTTTTAACCTTTTTCGTAAGTTTAAAAAAAAAAATTTTTGCATATATCTATTGCTTGCTAGCAGTAGATATATGCAAAAAAAAATTAATTATCCTTTCAGTGTCACTGTTGCAGTGTCTAACAAGTAGTTTTTGTAGCTTGATCCCATAAGAATGGCAGACAGACGTTTCAGGAGCTGTGCTAGTCACGGCGCCGGGGCCATATCCCTTGGTGGTGTCACATGCGGGGAATCCTGGTGTGACGTCTATAAGCCCCAATAGAAATCCAGCATGCACAGCAACTGGCAACATGCAAAAACTTGCTTCCTCCCAAGGAACACAAGCCTTCAGCAATACACTGAGCACCGCCCTAACTCCACCTCTGTTTCCACAGGAACAGGGGCGTTGCTTCCAGTCCTGGGCTTTAAAACCTCACAACACTACTAGCTCAGTGCCAAGTTATTCTGAAGCCCTGCTCACAGAGACTCAGCGTTTGTTCCTGCATCTTCGTCCCCTGTTCCTGCATTCCTACCCCCAGTTTTGGACTCCCGGCTACCTGACCCTCGGACTGTTTTCTGGACTACTGATTCTACACTGCCTGCCCTGAACATGGAACTGCTTTACTGCGGCTTGTCTCACCCTTCTGGACTTTGTATTTGGACTGTTTATCTCACCTGCTTCCTGCTACTGGGATCCAGACCTGGCGCAAGGGGCTCGGCCCTGCGGTACGTGACACTTATAGTGTTTACGGAAGTCAGGAGTTTCCATGCCAGCTTGAGATTTCAAAGCATATAAGCATGATCTGGGTATACAATGCTTTTTGCCCACCCAGATGAAGGTCTTGGAGTTGTTTAAGATATTGCGGTAAAACTGGAATGGTTAAGGCAGGAAATAAGTAGAGAATATGTAATAGAATACACTTTTTGACTAGAGTAATCCTACTTGCCCACGAGGCTGGGTTATGTTGTAAATCTTGACAAATGTTTTGTACTTCTCCAAGAGAGGAATAAAATTTAGTAGAAACATCTTGTGGCTAGGAGAGGTCAAATTGATGCCCAAATATTTTAGTGTCACTGAAGGAGCCCACGAGAAAGGAGAGATGCACAAGATTTGAGCACATAATTGAGATGTTAGGTTAACTGCAAGCATGTGGGATTTAGAACAATTTACTTTAGTAGTGAAATGTCCCCAAAGCAGGACAAGATCATTTACAAAGCAGGGAGTGAACGGGTTTGGTCTGTTAACCTCCCTGGCGGTCTGAATATTTCCTTTTTTTTTTTCTTTTAAATTTCCCGCCGGTTCCTCCCCCCTGATCCTCCCAAGGAACACAAGCCTTCAGCAATACACTGAGCACCG